GGCTGTCCCCCATGGGCCATTGAGCTCTGCCCACCCTTCCCTTCCCTCCATGCCTCCTTCCTCCCTCCCTCCTTCCCCCCTTCCTCCCTTCCTCCTTCCTTTCTTGCTTTCTTGCTTTCTTTCTCTTTCTCTCAACTTGTCTTCCTAAATACTTTATAAAGTTTACAGAATAGTCCTAGTATGTAATAAATGTTGATAGAAGTAACAAGTAAAAAAAGTAAAACATTAAACAATATTTCTTAGCAATATATTGTCATTTATAAAAGATAATTTTTTTCTAAGAAGAGGTTAGTTGTATTGTTAAATGATCAATGTAAGGGTTAAACAAATATAACTAAAACAGGTAGTCAATATTTAGAAATCATTGAATGTGGTTACTATTCATCTCAAATAGAACTTTTATCTCTTGAGAAGAAGATAAAATTGATTGCTGTTGAAATACCGAAGCTTTATACTATTTATAAAGAGGCAACTTGCCCATACTGTGACATAAATCTACAGTAAAAAAGTACATCAAACACAACTTTTTCCTCCATAGTTTTCTGACAATATAATAATTTTCTTTAAAAGGAAACAAATGTAAATCAAATATAGCAATATAAATTTGGGGTGCAGTAAAGAATGAGTAGTGTCCCCCTAATATTTCCAGAGTGTTTTTGTTACTTAATTTTCTTAACTCTTTTGGACTCTTCATGGTAGAAAATTGTTTATTCATTTATTTGGGCTGGGGCGATAGCACAGCGGGTAGGGCGTTTGCCTTGCACGCGGCCGACAACGGCTGACCCGAGTTGAATTCCTCCGCCCCTCTCAGAGAGCCCTGCAAGCTATTGAGAATATTTCGCCCGCACGGCAAAGCCTGGCAAGCTACTCGTCACATATTCAATATGCCAAACACAGTAACAAATCTCACAATGTTACTGGGCCCGCTCGAGCAAATCGATGAACAATGGGAGGACAGTGACAGTGACAGTGATTTATTTGGGGGACCATGCCCAGCAGTGCTCAGGGTTTACGCCTGACTCTGCATTCAGAGGTCACTCCTGGTTGGGACTCAGGGGATGGGGTGCTGGGGATTGAACTCAGGTTGGCTGTGTGCAAAATAAACGCCCCATCTTGCACATGGCTTGTACTATCTCTCCAGCCCCTTAAAGTTGTTCACTTATTAAAGAAAAGATAGCAAAACATTTAAGCAACTAATATGAAAACATTACTTCTCTCTCCCCCAAATAGGTGGTGAAATTCATAGTGATTATTTCAAGTAAGTGAGCTTCATTTTTTTGGTGGAAGCATTCATATGTAGCTGTTTGCAGACATTTTGGGTAACAAGAATAGAATATAGAGCACGGCATAGGACCTTGGAGACCATTTAAAACAACCAC